AAACAAACCAGAGGTAAGCAATACGCAAGTGTAAAATAATCTGTCTTAAAATGTGCTACAAGGGTCCTCATACATCAAGAGTAGGTAAAGAGGGCACCATTATTTACAAACAAGCAATAAGCACAGCCCTAAAAACATCCATCTCTACAGCTTTACATCATCATCAGCCTGTATATACCAATTCCAGCCCGACTATATAAAGCAGGGCTGGCGAACGTCGGTCCTGGAGAGACGCAGCCTTGCAGAGTTTGGCTTCGACCCTAATCAAATACACCTGAACAAGCTAATCAAGGTCTGAACAGTTACTGGGAAGCTACAAGCAGGTGAGTTTTAATTAGGGTTGGAGCTGAACTCTGCAGGGCTGCGGCTCTCCAGGACCGGAGTTCGCCACCACTGATATAAAGCATTCAAGCAAACGCTGAAGCAGTGGCTTTTTGGAAAGACCTGCTATGGGACCCACAGGCTGTGAGCCCTACTGTTGGGGTGAATCCGGAATAGAAATTAATTTGTCTGGGCTAATAAAGCCCAGTGAGAAGCCAGCTGGAGGAAAGGGGTACGGCAGTCTCAGCTCACAGCGCCCAGCACTGACATTTGGCTCTCACAAAGAAACAAAGGAGTTCATAGCACTTTAAGAGCCACTGAGGCAGTAACACAAAACACACACCCAGCAGGATTTTAAGGCCGAAAGAAGACTAAAGAAGAAGAACTGGTGTATAAGTGTGCTGGAGAGAAAGGAACAGGAGGTGCGGTGGTATTCTGAAGGTGGGCATTCAGGTTTGGTGCCAGCACTCTGCATGTGACAGGTCAGAGGCTGGCAAACAGCTGCAATGGGCTAAAAAGCAGAAAGCTCAGGGCCAAAGGAACAGTAACCCGTAGCGTGACGCCACTCGCCTGTGGGCAGCTAAAGTGTGAACCTCTTCCTAATTGGCCTCCATTTCCACCAGCATCTCTCCAGCTTTCAGTTCCAGCTCCTCGTCTGATATGAGTTTCACAGTATGTTGCCAAGTAGATTGTGTGTAACTGGCTCTTCTCCAGGCAGTTTGCTTGTGTATTTGAATCCAATTATAAACTCACAGACCAAATATCATAGAAATCAATATGTGAAGGATAAGCGGCCAGAAAAATACACCCGATCAAGACAGAGCTCTACTGTCCAAGATCTATAATACATAGATGAAACTATCCATTAGAAATCCCATTCATCTTAATGGTAGTTGCTAAGATGGCCCATTCAGCTCCAAACTGAATTTCAGTCTATTACTTACAGGTGCATCTCAATAAATTAGAAACTTTTCCACGACATTCTAATTTATTGAGATGCACCTGTACACAAAACTATCATATGACTTCAGAAGACTTAAAATACAGAATGGTCATATGCACCACTTTTATGTTATTTTTATAGTGCTTTGCATCCCCGTTAATTTTAATTGCATGGACAAGAGTGCCTACTGTGATTCTTGAAAATTTCTCCTTTTGAGCTCTACTGAAAGAAAAAATATTATTGGTAAGGAAAATTGGTCAATAATTACAGTTAGTTAAATTTTTTGGCTGGACTATTACTTAAAAAAAGTGTCATGGTTAATTTCACAAAACTATTGCAAAAAATTTAATAAATTATACTTTTTTTCATTTTTTTTATTTTTTTTACATATTAAAATAGATCAAAAGTGACAGTAAAGGCATTTATAATGTTACAAAAGATTTCTATTTCAAATAAATGCTTTTGTTTTTAACTGTATATTCATCAAAGAATCCTGGAAATGTGTCACAGTTTCTACAAAAATATTAAGCAGCACAACTGTTTTCAGCACGGAATGATTTTTTAAGGATCATGTGACACTGAAGACTGGAGTAATTGCTGTTGAAAATTCAGCTTTGCCATCACAGGAATAAAGGGTTATTAAAATAATAATAATAATAAATAAACTAATAATATTTCACAATATTACTGCTTATACTGTGTTTTTGGTCAAATAAATGTAACCACGCATAAGACACAGCTTTCAAAAATATTTTAAAAATCTTACCAACCCCAAACTTTTGAATGGTAGTTTTGATAATTGTGTTTCTCAGATGTTTATAAGAAGACACGAAACTACGTAGAAAATTAGTTTCCTAGGAAAAATATCAATAGTTTAGTGCTCATTTCCACCTTTGACCAGAATCAAGAGCCACGTAATAAACCCACGTATATAACAGACACAGCCAAATATTTGTTCTGTTCTGAGAGCAATATCCTCATATTGTAAGAGCTGTTGGTTTTAATTTATTGTGGGAGCTTCACTGTGAACTGAATCTGGGTAAGATGTAATATTGCCATGATCACCAAAGCACCTAATGCCTCCTGAAATAATGACTCACAATTTCCTTTTTTCTTTTCTTATCTCCGTTTCGAAAGCAAACCTGCCTGTTTAAGACTGCAGTCCTCTACAAAAGCAATAAATCAACTTTACATATTTCATAACACATCCAGATGATACCAGTGAAACCTCCCCTCAGGACGTCAAATGGAAAAAAGCTATAAGAATCTAGTAAATCGCATAAGACTTTATGCATTTTAGCAAATATTCCAGTGACAGGCCATTTATTCTGTCTAAGGAAAAAATGTAATGTGCACCTATACAGAAAAATAGACATTTACATTACTAACCAATGAAAACTGGATGAAGCATGAGAGTATTAAAATGACATGAACTGTAAATATTGCTCTCTAATGAAAGAATAATAGAGAGTTTGATCTTACATCATTTGTGATCATAAGGAATAACAGATATGTTGATAGTAAAATGAAGGGTTCCTCAACTATCTCTAAGGAAAATAATACCGACTGGTTACTAGTTACAAAGACCAATGCTGCTCCCAAGTGGCTGGACAGAGAAGCGAATTTTGAAGAGAGAAAAAAAATCAATACTGCCAGAATTTGAATAATTTCAACAAAACCAAAATGTGCACAAGAATATTTTCTCTCCTGCAGAGGATGCATCTGGAATCATCATTACAACTCATTAAATCCTACACAGAAAAAAATACTAGTAAAATTAACTAGTAAATAAACCCTCTAATAATATCTGTAAATCCGAGACTATTTAGAATAAAATAATGATGTTATTTTCACAATGACTTTTTAATTAGACATTCTATGCATAATCATAAGTCTTACTGTAAGCTTCAAAGCTTATATTTTAAAAAGTAGACCAACAGACATATACAGTATAGGCACATAATTAGGCCATGTGCACATGTGTGTGGGTGTGTGTGACAGTGTGCTTATGATGGGGGTTGTGAATGTGGTTATTGGAAGGTTGCCTAAGTACATGCAGTCTTTCCTCAGTTCTTCAAACACCTCGGAAACTGATACAATCTGTGATATGTTTCACTTCAATTATGAGATATTCTAATTTATGACAGTTTGTAATAGCATATTCTTTCCTTACCCATTAATTCCCCTGCCTTGACTAATATTATAACCCTTAATGCATGGTGACCACTACTGTGGAGATATGTAGAACTCTCTCTACAAAACTCAACCATTATAGAGTTCAATTTGGTCGTCAAAGTAGGTCCTCTGGAAGCAGACTGCATGGGAATCACTGCTGTAAAGAACATTGGTGGCGAAAAATATTAAAGGACTTACAGTTTCTCCGCTGCTACTGTCTTTGTGTCTTTAACAAGGTAAACAGTGGCGAAGCTGCCCTTCCCGAGTCTCTGCTGGATGATGTATCTGTTAGCAATCAGACTGCTCTGGTCAGGAGGTGTTTGTGTGGCAGGATGGCATTGTGCTTGGCCTGGACGCTCACGAAATCTGGGCATTTTTCAGTCATGAATCCAGAGCAGCCAACTACAAAGAGATAAAGGTCGAGAAAATGTCAACAGATGCTCTCTTGTGACGTTTTATTTCTTTTTCTTTTGGTTATTTCTTTTGTGTTTTGGTATTTTAAGTTCCTGAATTGAAAACTAAAAGTATATGCAACATAAACAATAATTATTTTGAAAATGACTTACAATAACAATTTATCATATTTTTATTTTTTTTCGTTAACATGCGTAGCAAAAACAAAATAAAAAAAAATGCAGAATAAAGTTCAGTTTGTATATTTAGCGATGCATAATAAATGATATCATCAAAAAGACTAACCAAATTCATTACACTTGCTCGTTTTGTTTTATATAAACAAATTATTGCAGTTGATGATAGGTTTTTTTTTAACCTCACCTGTGCGTCGGAAGTTCGTTCGGACACATGCGCTCAACTTCCGTGTGTTAAGTCGTTGTCATGGGAACAGTGCAGTGGAATGTTTCTCCTTTAGATGGCGCTAATGTGCAGTGTTGACTGTCAACCAAATAAAGTTTTACGTGCTACTCAGGTTTTTGATATCAGTGAATCTTGATCAGTTATGAAATCAAATAATGGGATCACGTAGGCTTAAAAATAAAAAAATTAAAATAAAAACAAAAAAAATGTCACAAAAACTTTATTATGCTTATTTGTTCTATAACAATAGTTGCACATTCATGACATTCCTTACTATTAAAAATGTATTAAAAAGCAAAGCAACACACAAAACTGCATGTCCTTGAGTGTCAAATGCGGACAGGTGAGACCTGTGAGTTTCTGAAAGTTCTTGATTAGCCTTCATATTTACATCTATTTTCGTTTGTTATAGCCTATTTACATTTTCCCCCCAGAATGTTTCTTATAATTTAATGAATTTATTAACATAACTCTAAAGTTTTTTGAGTACTCACTGCAGTTCTTATGTTTCTTTTTTACTGTTCTTTGTATCAAGCAATGCTTATCAGACTGTCAACTCCCGACGCAGCTGCCACAAAATGCTTTTATCAATCTAGTTCAAATGAAGCACATTTATATCTGTATAAGAGAAGTAACCAGAGTTCATCTGACATTTTTAGAGCTAAAACACACACACACACACACACACACAGAGGCACATGTTTGCTTTTATGTCACGATACAAATCTGTAGGCTGAAAGCATGATTAACCGTTCATCACTGCACTGTAGATGGTTGAATCGTTCTCCTGCTCTGTGTTTGCAGACCTAGAAATAAAGAAGACCATTACAATGAAATACCAATACTCATTTTCACTATCAATATTACTTCAAGATATACAAATGTGATGTCAAATTGTGTTGTGTTGCATCATCTCCATAACTACTGGTTAGATTAAATAAAGCAATTACAGTATTTGACCACAGTTCTATGTGTCTTGAATGCTCACACTTGAAGCAGATCTTTGGGTTTAATGTTGACAGATGAATATTCCACTTCATCTTCCTGCTGTACATCCTCAGCTCCTGGTAGGTTGTCAGCCTAACAGCAAACAGATTGTGTAGAACTTGTTTGTACGTATAACTGTCATCTTTTGTTCTGTTTAATGGTCACCCTGCTGAAAAGACCAGCTTAGCTTAGCATACCCAGTGTGGTTTTTCTGATGAAGCTGGTTGACCAAACAACACTTGCTGCTTAAGTTGGTTAAGAAGCATCCAGCCAGTGTACATTTATCCATACATATATAGGCTATATATATATACACACACACACATATATATATATATATATATATATATACACATACATACATACATACATAAATGTATATTATATATTACAAATATATTTACAGTTGTTTGAGGTTGAGTTGTGCTGTAAAGAGAACCCTTGGCTTCTTCTCTTTCTTCCACTGGTTTTTCTTGCGTTCTTGCTTTCCTTCTAAGAGTAAATGTGACAGAAATGCATTATAAATAGCACAATTTAGCTGATACATCAAACATATTTGATGATTTCAGGAAAGGGGGTTGATTCTGCGGAAATATTTTTAAAATATTGCTTATTTCATTATTAATTAAATAAATATATACATATACTCTGGGTAAAAGTTATAGAAAAATGGATAACGTCTTGGCAGTGAATTACCAGAACATTATCCATTAAGTTTACAGTTATTTCCTTCAACCTTAAAATATAACACAATGCTTTGCAATCCTAAAATATAACATAATACAGTTTATTTTGGGTACATGCAGTTTAGCATCTTTGTGTCATAAGCCTTAACCACTGACCCTCACCAACATTACAAAACTCCCCTGACAACAATATAAACACTTGCACATTCAAACTTTTTTTTTTTTCAGTTTCATTTCAACTGACGGTAAAATAGATTTATAATATATTGGTGTGTGCAAGTACAAACAAATCAAAATGTCTTACCTTCTTATAAGCATCACAGCTGCAGTGATGAAAACAAGAGAGACTAAAAACACCACAATAATCAGAACGGTTGGGGACCCGGCGACATCTATTGAGGACAACAAAAAGATACCATTTCTTTTCAATTATGCACATCTCTCATTTACCAAATATAAATATGATTGTGTGAATATGAAAATGTTAATAATATATATATATCAGTTCAACCAACCTTCAATGTTAATGGTAATTTCTTCAGATACAGCGACATCTATTGAGGACAACAAAAAGATACCATTTCTTTTCAATTATGCACATCTCTCATTTACCAAATATAAATATGATTGTGTGAATATGAAAATGTTAATAATATATATATATCAGTTCAACCAACCTTCAATGTTAATGGTAATTTCTTCAGATACAGTTGTTTTAAAGTTTCTCAAAGAACAAGAGTAATTCCCAGAGTCTTCAGCTGTTACTCGGCTGAAGGTGAGGACGGGCTCTGAATGTTGAATCGGATCACCATTCTTAAACCACTGAACATCAGCTAAATTACCAGAGCAGCTGAGTGTGCATGTCAAATTCAAAGAGTCTCCAACCATTGTGCTTCCATTTTCTCTTGACCTGCTCATGGACACTCTTAAATCTACCAAAAATAAATAAATAAATAATTAAACTGGGAGATTTATTTTAATCAAAACAAACAAAACAACAAAAGCATCAAGAAGTAATTTTTTTAGAGTAAATCTTTTATATTTACCGTCTACTAAAATGTTCACTCCAGGATCACCTGTCCATTTGTTCTCACGGGTTATAAATTTGAATTTATACTCTCCAGAATGTGTTTGATCAATATTACTGATCAAAAGAGAACAATTTGAGGTTTTGTCTCCAAAGTATTGAAAGTCCTTTTGATTATTGTTGGCTTCACTATCATAAACATACGGCTCATTCACGCAGTAGCCATTGTTTGATCTCATTGAACACCACAGCACTTGCTGTACTTGTTGCTCATGTGGATATGTAAATCTACAGTCAATAGAAACATCGGACCCCCTCGCAGCACAGATCGGACTCAGAGGAGGATAATTCACACTCCACTGATTACTGAGAACACCTGAGGAGCACAGAACACTTGATTTATTTAGAGTATTTGTTACTGTAAATCCGATAGCTTAAATATATCTTGAGACAATCAATATCTGTTACAGATATCTAAAATATCTATTGTGACAGTTTTTAAGAAATTATTTACATAATGAATCAATCAGCAATAACAGAGATGCAGTGGAATCCAAAAGTCTGAGACCACATTAAAAAAAACATTAAAACCATTAAAAAAAGAAAAAAGAAAAAAAAGTACAATAAAGAAAAGTTATGGCTTAAATAAATAAGAGATATTCAAGATTCTGCAATGTCACTAATCAAAGAAGAAGATGTGAACTCCATATACACCAGATATTAAAAAACATCTAAATATCTAACCTTTTCATTAGAAAATAAAAAGAACACAAAATAACATTTTAGTGGCCTCAGATTTGGTCTCCATTTTATATAGTCAATTCATTTTCAGTTTATTAGAATTTGATATAAATTAAATCAAATAATTATAGGAGAAACGGACAACAAACAAAATAGATTAGAAAATCTTTTCTTACCAGGAAGAAGAAGCAGAATAATTTGCAGCATTGCAATTCACTGTTTCAGTTATTTAGCTTACAGAAGATGTTTTATGCAGAGTGTCAGACAAAACGCAAGAAGAGAAAATGAAGAAAAGAAGATGTTGCTAAGACGAATGCTGCAGGTTTCCATTTCCTTCCTAATACCATTAGCACTGATGGTCCCACATAAGAACCAAAAAGGCAAATAAGAATGAAAATTCTAAGTCTCTAAAGTAGAGCTGGGCAATAACGAGCTGATTGGGTCTGATGACGGGAGGGGGTTGTTCTTCCATCGCGCTCGCTGATTGGAAACACCAGTGTACGCGAAAGCCGGTTTTGTGAACTTGGGCTGTGATATTTTCTTGTTGTGTTTTTGTTTGTTTGGTTTAGTTTTAGGAAAAAGCAAAGGAGGGTCGTAACATAAATGGGGGCTCGTCCGGGATCAGAATAAATTGTTCTGATTTTGATTATCCTGGAATAATGTAGGCCAGTTCGTGGCATTCGTGGCATACTTTTCACTGGTGTAGGTTGAGAGTTATATGTGTGGTGAGTAGCATCCTAAGTATGGCTAGTTTGGATTTGCAGACGTTTTTAGAAAATCCTTCGTTAGAACAATTAGATAGTTGTAAGAAGGATGATTTGTTGGCAATAGCAAGTCATTTTCAGATTGCAGTAGGTAAACAGTCTCGTAAGGGAGAGATTAAATCTGTTGTGTGGAATCGACTAGTGGAGATGAATGTGCTCGGTTTGTCGGAAAAGGTGGATATAGCAGTGGGCAGTGTTATGGGAGCAATTGCTAGGAGTGAGAATGAGAGTGAGGAAGAACTGATGCCTGCGGCGGAGGTGGAGGCCGATGTTAGGGCGAGGTTGCCTCAATTTGAACCATTCTCTCCTATGTCTACAGGCTCAAAAGAGGGAGCGAGACTGAAAGTCCATTTGGCCCGTTTGCAGATGGAAGCGCAAGAGAAGGTGCAGACTCGGCAGGCGGAAATGGATTTGCGATTGCAAATTCGTAGACTTGAGATTGAGGCGGAGAAACAGATCAAAATGCGACAGCTGGAGCTCGACGCAATGAGAATTGTGGGAGGTTCAGCTGCGCAACCAGATCTCCCTCAAGTTACTACCGTTGCCACTGTTATCCCTGCTCCTGTTGTTTCTTCTACTCCCACTGTTCCCTCTGCTCCATCTGTAGCAACCGGCTCATTCAATGTGAGTAAACATATTACGTTGGTGCCACTTTTTCGTGAGACAGAGATAGACTCCTATTTTAGTGCTTTCGAGCGCATTGCAACATCCCTTCATTGGCCGAAAGAGCTTTGGGCTCTTTTGTTGCAATGTCGTTTGGTGGGTAAAGCGCTAGAGGTTTTTTCTACTCTTTCTGTAGAGGACAGTTTGAACTATGAAACTGTGAAGTTAGCAATATTACGTGCCTACGAATTAGTTCCAGAGGCATACCGACAAAAATTTAGAGGCCATAAAAAGAACACTTGCCAGACATTTGTGGAATTCGCTAGGGAGAAGTCTCTGTTATTTGATAAATGGTGCAGTGCAACTAAAACCGGAGACTTTGACTCCCTAAGAGAATTAATTCTGCTTGAGGAGTTCAAAGGATGTCTGCCCGAACGTGTGGTGGTCTATTTAAATGAGCAGAAAGTTAATTCGTTGTCGCAGGCTGCTGTCCTAGCAGATGAGTTTGTACTCACTCATAAGGGGGTATTCTCCGTGACGCACACTGAAAAGAGTGTTCCATCTGGTTGTCCATCTCAAAGTCAGAGTGCTCGGATCAAATCTGTTACGTCGCAATCGAAGGAGGTAAGGGACTGTTTTTATTGCCATAAACACGGACACTTGATTGCTGATTGTCCTGTGCTTAGGCGTAAGCAACAGACTCAAAACCCTAAAAGTGTTGCATTGTTAAAGACTATGCCAATGTCTGAGCTGTCGGGTTGTACTGATGTCCTTGATGTAAGTTACAAGCCTTTCGTTATGACAGGGTTTGTTTCTTTGTCTGGTAAGGAAGAGGATCGGAGAGAAATTTCTATTCTCCGGGATACTGGGGCTATGCAGTCCATCATGGTGTCTGATATTTTGCCTTTCTCTGATGAATCGTATTGTGGCTCAAATATTTTGGTCCGTGGTATTGAAATGCAAGTAGTGCCGGTTCCTCTGCATCGTGTGCATTTAGACTGTACACTGGTGTCTGGATTTGTGAGAGTTGGAATTCGTAGATCACTTCCTATGAAAGGGATAACTTTTATTTTGGGAAATGATTTAGCTGGAGGTAAAGTGGTGCCAGCGCCAGAGGTGACCGATGTTCCGAGTGATTGCTTAAATTCTAATGATGTTGCTAATTTCCATCCTGAGTTTTTTTCTGCTTGTGCCGTTACTCGTGCGCGGTCAGCTGAGGCTATGGAGCAAGTTGATTTGGCTGACTCATTGGTGGGGCATGCATTAGCAGATGATGGGAATATCTCTGAAATTAAGATAAATGATGCACGACGTTCTAATGTAAAAAGTTCAGAAGGTTTGCTAGAAAGTTTTCATTCTTTGGACCTGCCTATCTCTCGTTCGCAGATTATTGCTGCCCAAAACGATGATCCATCTTTAAAAAAATGCTTCTCAGCTGTGATTAGCTCCGAGGCTGTTAAGAAAAGAGACTCTGCATACTTTGTAGACGATGGTTTATTAATGAGAAGGTGGTGTTCTAAGGTCAAAGAGGATCTGGATTGGAACGTTATATATCAAGTGGTAGTTCCAAGCAGGTTTCGTTCTTATGTATTGTGTCTAGCTCATGAACATTTACTTTCCGGTCATTTGGGGGTAATGAAAACTTACCATCGTATTCTCCAGCATTTTTTTTGGCCTGGGTTGAAACGAGATGTTGCAAAATTCTGTCGTACGTGTCATACTTGTCAAATGGCAGGTAAGCCGAATCAGGTCATCTCACCCGCTCCACTTTCTCCTATTCCGGCTATGGGAGAAGCGTTTGAAGAGGTACTGGTCGACTGTGTCGGACCTTTACCGAAAACAAAATCGGGTAATCAATATTTGTGTACCATAATGTGTAGAGCGACTCGATTTCCTGAAGCTGTACCATTGCGTAACATAACGGCTCCTGTTATTTTGAAAACTTTGATTAAGTTCTTTTCCATCTTTGGACTTCCTAAAGTTATTCAAACCGATCAAGCTTCGAATTTTTTGTCGCGAGTTTTTACTCAAACTTTGAAGTCGTTGTCCATAAAACACAGAGTTTCTAGTTCATATCACCCGGAAAGCCAAGGTGCGATCGAGAGGTTTCACCAAACCTTAAAGACCATGCTTCGAAAATATTGTATGGAAACGAATAAGGATTGGGATGAGGGAATCCCTTTAGTATTGTTTGCCGTACGTGAGAGCGTGCAAGAATCGCTCGGATTTAGTCCGGCCGAGATGGTTTTCGGACATGCTGTTCGGGGCCCGTTAAAGGTTCTGAAGGATAAAATGATGGAAAGTAACACAGAGAATAGAACGAATGTGTTAGACTATGTCAGTCGGTTTAGAGAGAAACTTCATAGTGCCCGTGACCTTGCTCGTAATTTTTTGAAAGATGCTCAGTCTGACATGGAGATTCGATATGACAGGCAAGCAGTTGCACGAGCTTTTCAGTCCGGTGACAGAGTACTGGTATTATTACCTAATCCAGGTTCGGCACTGACCGCTCGATTTACTGGTCCATA